ATCTTTCTACCTTATCTTTGCAAGTAGCTAAGGGATTATAAGCCTCTGCTTCCAGGTCACTTCACGCTAAGAGTTTTACATACACAGATACACACACACACAGACACACACACACACACACACACACACGCACAAATACACACATTTGTGCAGACACATATATATATTCCAGAACAAATTATTTTTGTCTCTGTGATAAATGTAAAGTGTATGCATGCTTTTAAAAATCTTGAGGCGATAACCAGCATGTCTTAAGTGACATCCCATCTAGGAAACTCATGTTGAACTTTAGTTATTTTCAGCTGAGTCTCAGTGGTAAGAGACAGAGAATGGTGGATTCTAGACAGAGATACCAGCATGGACACAGGCTTGAAGACCTTTCTTCCCTTCTATGAATTCTTCCCTTCTATGAATTCAGTTCAAAGAGGAAAAAAAAAGTCCACAATACACAGACAATATAAAAGTACATCAAATATAGTTATCTAGTGATCCTTTCCTATACTTAAATGATTTCAAATTACTTTTTTCATATTGCTTTTATAGAGAGATTCTTTTGGCATACTAAGATCGAATATTAGAAACAATAGCGAATATTGACCAGTGTAACAGTGTTTTCATGTATTTACCTGCCTTGCTAAATACAGAGAGTTCAGGGCTGTAAAGACACTTCTTTTGGGAGCTTGGTGTAGTATGGGAGGCTTTTATGCAAAGACGCATGGCAAGTGGTGATGACCTATGGCAGTGATCTGTGCAGGATGATTCAAAAGTATAAAGCACTGTTGCCCGACCCTCAATGCTTGACACCAGGAGACAGACTTACTAAGATGTGGATAGAGATGTTCAAAAGCCAGTCTTGAGATTGTATTCTGCAAGTAAGATCATCAAGAATTCATTTTGGATTAATTTTAGGTTTATGTTGTTTGATGGAGAAAGAGGAGAAGCAGTAGGAAGAGAATGAGGATTAGGAGGAGGAGAAGGATGAAGAGGAAGAAGAGGGTGAGGAGGAAGCCCCAGTTGACATTAAATATGCAGAAAGCTGCCTGACTGCACAGCCTCATTTATAATTTAGGGGTGTTCAGGGGCTAGTGTAAGGATACCAGGTGATAAAATGTAGTGACATGTCCTGCCCCTCAAGGTGTGTAAGAAATGCCAGGGCCATTAAAACTAGCACTTAGCCAGTTACTTAGCATTGTTTACCTTCAGCAGTTTAATTTACCAGGGCCACGAATTAAAAGCAGAAATAATTCTGCATCACCCTCTGCTGCCAGATATCCCCATACAACAGTAGGTCTAGAGTACAGCACAACACAAACAAAATTGTTGCAGATGTTTAATTGTATACCGATATGTCAAACTTTATTTTACTGTTGTGGTTGTTTCACTGAAAATTGGAAATAGTTTGGGCAGAGTAAGGATAGCCTCGATAGATTTTAGGAAAGCAATGCAGTCTGTTCTTGTCTGGTTTTTCTTAGTTGATAAGGGAAAAGCATTAAGTGAAGCAGCAGCTTTTGCCTTTGAAAGGATTCAGAGATCTTACACAACTGCAACTCCTGGTCTGGAGCCAAGAGTACATGAAAGATGCAGCTGGATCCAAGAGAACTACTTTACCTCTCATTGACAGTGACTGGACCAGGAGTCATGCAGACCAGAATTCTGAAGTTTTACATTGTTTCTGGAATGTAGAAAATTCCAGCAAGTAAAAGACAGTCATCCCTTCAGGGAAGACAGAGAACAGCAGACATAGGATCTTGCCAATGACATGTAACGCCACACACAAATGAAAATGAAGGGCCTGATAATCTCAAACTCAAAAACTCATCTGTTACTCTGTTTCTTAAAAACCTTTTTAAAAAAAAATATTGAGCTTTTTAAATTTCATACATTTCCCTGGTAGAGGCTTCCGGGCCACTGGAGGCTTGCTCATATGAACTGTGGCTGTGGTGGTGTCAAGCACGGGACCCATGTCAACTCAATTAAACAAGGGCTCAAAGAGGAGGTAAGAAATAGGTGGCGGGCCAGCACTAGACTGAGAACTATTTGAGACTAATTGCTGCTGGGTAAGGGAGAGTATGACTTACATATGACCACTGGATGGGCTGACTAGACTCATTTACACTGAAGGACATTTGGGTACAAACACCTGAATGAATAGGACTTAGCATGTATGGCAGAATGCCTGGGGTTCGGTGGGGGATTGGATTTGATTGGGAAATGTTATATGAAATTTAAAAAGCTCAATAAAAATTTAAATAAAGTATTTTGAAGAAACAGATATAACAGCTGAGTTTTTGAGTTTGAGGCTTATTAGGCCCCTCATTTTCGTGTGTGTGTGTGTGTGTGTGTGTGTGTGTGTGTGTGTGTGTGTTGTGTACATCTACCATCTGTGTG